TGTGCGTTGTAATTGTAAAGATAGAAAGATACCGAAGGGGAGCAGCTTTGTGAGGAGTATAATATTAATAGGCATGGAGAGGTTGTGCGTTGTAAAGATACCGACGGGAGCAGCGTTGTGAGGAGTATAAGGCATGGAGAGGTTGTGCGTTGTAAAGATAGATAGATAGTGATACCGATCAGGGGAGCAGCGTTGTGAGGAGTGTAAGGCATGGACAGGTTGTGCGTTGTAAAGATAGAAATATACCGATCAGGGGAGCAGCGTTGTGAGGAGTATAAGGCATGGACAGGTTGTGCGTTGTAAAGATAGAAAGATACAGAGGGGGAGCAGCGTTGTGAGGAGTATAAGGCATGGAGAGGTTGTGCGTTGTAAAGATAGATAGATACCGAGGGGGAGCAGCGTTGTGAGGAGTATAAGGCATGGAGAGGTTGTGCGTTGTAATTGTAAAGATAGATAGATACCGAAGGGGAGCAGCGTTGTGAGGAGTAGAAGGCATGGAGAGGTTGTGCGTTGTAATTGTAAAGATAGAAAGATACCGAGGGGGAGCAGCGTTGTGAGGAAAGGGTCACAAATTACAACATATCCCTCAACATAATCATTCCTCACGTTCAAGTTTTATATTGTATTAATGAATGTGCTGAAGTTTATTATTATTTCTACAGGAATCCGCCAAAGACGAAACCTCTCAAAGCTGAGCATCTAACAAGAGTTTAAAGTTAGAACAACCTTTCTTTGATTTTGACACTCGGCTGTTCCACCTGCATAGTTTTACAAATTTTGAAGATTACTGACTTAGAAGTATAGTTAAAAGCATGGAACAATTTCAAGTTACCTTATCGAACAGACTTTGACTTTTCAGAAATTTTTACTAGCTTAAGCTAGGCTCTATTTCGGGAAGTAAAAGAGTCCAAATCAAAATGTTCGGGAAATCAACTTTGCAAATTATCCCTGGAGCAAGTCACTCAGCCATCAAATATTTCTAAGTTAATTTAAACGGACATAAATATGAACGCGATATGACTTCCAGCGTCCACATAATGATATAAATGCCCGTCCAAATAAAGTTCGATAAGGTATATATACCTTATATATAAGTTTTACCTTATATATAAGTTATACCTTATATATAAGTTTTACAAGCGTAGTACTAAATTACTTTTTCACTGGAACTATAAGCGGCTTTTATAAAATAATTTACTCGCCAATGCGCTGTCGTGTGGCTTGGATTTTTACCGTTTCGTAACCAAATAAAACGGTCCCACCGAAACCCTAACAACAACCCTAACTACAACTACAAGTATTACCTCGAAGCTAATCACAACCCTTAAAATAACTCGAGCCCTTAACAATCAAATTCGTTTTTTTACCGTTTAGACTAGCCTGTCATATATGTGGCTAAAACTGTTTTTTGCTCATACAACTCCTCGGGGAAGCGTTTTAACTTAATGGTAAACTTTTTAATTTCAGTTAATTGCAATTTTTATCAATATCATCGGACTAAGCTATACCATATATATCATTCTATCATTGGATCAATGAAAAACAAGTTATTATAAAATTTAAATATTCTAAATATCATAGTATGGCACTTTTTCACTTTCTTGATGTACGGTTCCTCGTTCATTCCATCGTAGTTACTATTAATCTACCTCCACATCTTCTAGAATCTAGATCTCTTACAACTGGTTGTTTATCCAACTCGTAGTTGTACCGGGTAATGAACGATATCAACTGCTCTACCGGAGATACTAGAATGCCTGAAGTACAACTTGAGCCTTATCTCTAGCCCCACACTTGGCAAAGGCTACCTTCGATGGTTCATGTCAACGACGATACCTTCTACTCTTCTACCATACCAACCATCTCGATGATATTCATATAAAATTCGGAAACCGGGATATCTCGGTCTCCCGAGCTAGGGATATGGCCGACGTACCTTCATACCTCATCTGCACAGCATTTAACATTTTGAATGCCTAACGACTGCTTTTCAGTTTCTTTCTTGTTGTATGAAACATTATTTACAAATTATCTGTTAAAATTGAAAAAAATATGAATAAATTCAGATTTTTAATGGTTTTGAACTCCTTCGAGCGTTCATTTCAATGTCCGTTTAACATTATGTCCGTTCACATAATGTCCGTTCAAATAAAGTCCGATAAGGTAGATAACTTTTTTAAATAAAAAGGACGACCATGAGTGGTTGCAACTTACTTTATGAATCAAAGTATTTTGGAACGCTAATTGCGAATAACCCGACATGCAGAAATAGAATTAAAATGATTCCCTGACGAGTTATCAGCGAAAAATTGTTTTGATCACGTTATATGGTCAGGAAAAATTTATTGTTAGGGTTTTAGCACATGCTCGATTTAGATAATGGGTTGGTGTTAGGACTTGGGTTCAAGATAGGGGTTTGGATTTTCCGTTAGAGCTATCTGGAGAACGTCACATGATAGTCTAGTGTTGAGTGATTAATCATCATCCTCAAGTTTACTTTCATTTCGTAGAATACCAAATTTTATGCTATTAAAACGCTCGTTCGAAGCTGAGGTTTCAATATAATAATGTTACTTTGTATTGTAGTCTTATCAAACCTTAATAACACAATAAGTAACAATATCATCAAAAACAATCTCGGAGTCTTTAACCTGATAACTTGGTAACTTTGTAACCTGGTAACCTGATAACCTGGTAACCTGATAGTCTCGCTTAGAGTATGAAAAGGAAAGTGCCCCCCCCCCCCCCCTGCAATCGCAGAAGGGACCATTGGGGACATCATCATTCTGCGTTCATTTGAATTCGTATCATTGTCATCTACTCCAGACACCTGCTTATAAATTAGTAATAGTAGATTGTTATAGAAAGTAACTACTAAAAAGGGAAATTAACTACAAATGTTATAACTAGGGTTCTGATCAAAACACAGACCAGCCACTACTGCAAGAACGAGCTGTTCTAGCTGCTAACGAGGTTTATAGTACAGTAAAACCCCGATTTTCCGCGGAGTTTGGGGAAAAGGAAAAATTTGCGGTAAATCAGGGTCCGCGATAAAACAGATTTTTGTTTGTTTACAATATGCAAGTTTGGGGGAAGGAAATGGCTGCGGTACAACTAAATCGGGGTTTGCGGTAAATGTGGGCGCGGTAAATGTGGGCGCGGTAAATGTGGGCGCGGTAAATGTGGGCGCGGTAAATAGGGTTCCACTGTAGAGTGTAGAACATATAATAATGTGTACCTTTGTTTCACAGCTTTTATTGTTTGCATTTAAAAGAAGGAAACCTTATAACCCCGTATCTATACTGTACTGTGTAGTCCTGATATCGAGCTAATCAGTATTCTATCTGCTGTTTTCTCATTGATAAGTTGCGTTATTAAGCATAATCTGGTATGAATATGTCGGTCTCAAAGCGCGTATATTTAAACTGCTGGATGTCATCAACTTGAAGTTAACTCCTAGAGGAACTTTAATTGGCCTCTATATATTGTGCACCTCTACGTCTTTGGACACATCCAAAGGACAGTTTTAGCATCAGCATTTCAAAATGCCATTCCTATGATACATTGAAAACATCGTGTAACCCTTACCTGCCTCCTCAAAAAACCTGCTGTAAAAATCAGTAGCACTGACCATCCAGCACAACAAACATGAAGCTTGGGAGATAGCCTGGCATTAGGTACTGGGCGGCGCTCAGCCTGTCATAGCATGGGGTACCCAGGTAAGCCTGGCACTGCAGCAGTTCACAGCAGAATCACGTACATCTGTGCTCACGTACACAATGCAATAATTTTGGAGGCAGAATGTTTGCCCTGACCCCTACATCTGTGCTCACACACAATGCAGTAATGTTGGAGGCAGAATGTTTGCCCTGACTCCTACATCTGTGCTCACACACAATGCAGTAATGTTTGAGGCAGAATATTTGCCATGACCCCTATACATCTGTGCTCACACACAATGCAGTAATGTTGGAGGCAGAATGTTTGCCCTGACTCCTATATCTGTGCTCACACACAATGCAGTAATGTTGGAGGCAGAATGTTTGCCCTGACTCCTACATCTGTGCTCACACACAATGCAGTAATGTTTGAGGCAGAATATTTGCCATGACCCCTACATCTGTGCTCACACACAATGCAGTATTGTTGGAGGCAGAATGTTTTCCCTGACTCCTACATCTGTGCTCACACACAATGAAGTAATGTTTGAGGCAGAATGTTTGCCCTGACCCCTACATCTGTGCTCACACACAATGCAGTAATGTTGGAGGCAGAATGTTTGCCCTTACTCCTACTACTACCACGAATCATGATAGTACCTCTCCATAAAAATATGTTTTATTTTATATCAAGGTTCTTGGTTCTTGGGAAGTTTGTGTTAAGATCTGCACGCCCAAATGTCGGGTAGAGAAACACTAACAGGGATTAATTATTTAAATGTGATCTCTGTCCTATTTAAATTGCCAGTTTTTTCCATGAGACTCGGAAATAATACCCATTGACTGGTAAATTTGCACTTTGCACATCCCTCGATGTATATAATACGAAGAGAGTGGCGGACAGTATAACAGGCATGCCATGACAAGATTAACCCAAACCCTAATTCTAATTAGGTTTCAAGCATTGACCTTATTATGATGACCTGTTAACAACTTGTAATTAGACCAATTAGACAGGGCTGAGATCGGGCATGTTGTTTCTTGCCCAAACTCAGCAGTCAGTACTCACTGAAATGAGGACCAGTTGTTTAGAATAAGGTCAGATGTTTGCACGGTTATCTTAGATACAGTTCAGGATCAGTAGTTCAGGTGTTCGCTCGCCAGCACGGTTGTCTATATGGTTTGCGGGGATCTGCTGGAATGTTTGTTGACGGAACCTGTCATCTCACACGTACTCTATTCCCACCAGTGCTAGAATTTTCCAATTGAAGCTCAGTTTGCATACTTGGAACAGACAGATTTGAGTTCAAAATATTTTATTGCTTCTCACACATTTTCTCCAGCCAGATGAATGTACAGAGTGACTGATTTGCAATGAAAGTTCCTACACCGCCACTCGGCAGCTATGCTGAGGATCTAGAAACAGTACATCTCAAGAGAGGTTACAGTAAGGATTGGATGAAGAGAGGTGGAAGCAACTGGGACAAACATATGATCTTTGTTACTGGAATTATTTTTTGGGCTGTTTATATGGACCTTTTTGGACTTCTTTGACTAATAACGTTATTTGATTACTGATGACGTAACTGATGACGTATATGAAACTATTAAATTAAACATTGAGATCTGTAGCAGTGTAGACAGTAAAGGAGACTTTTTCCGGCAGGATGTTTTTATTTACATTCTATAGAGCTGTCTGTATTTTTGTGATATTGTGAACTTTGATGACTATTGACTAGTGTACATGATAACTTGATAACTTGATAACTTGATAACCATTTTCGTAACTTATGTAAAGCTGATTGAGATAACTACTGTATCTAACATTATTTTTAGTATCGTATGTAAAACTAACATAGCAGTATAACCATATTCGCTAAAACACCTAATTAAAAATAAATAAAATGAAAAGTTCTTTCTTTTGATACCTATAGCAGCTATTTGGGAGCTCCTAAATAACCCATAATAAATTTAATTCACCCAACGAAAATGAACGCATAAATAAGATATTCAGTCGTCTTTATTCGCATATTAAAAACAGGCATCGAAGGAAAGGTGACTGGTCGGTGAAACACGGTGATGAAGATAGAAGAGGGAGATCACACTGGGCAGGAACAGAGATCTTCTTTCAAGAGATTATTTTATGTCAACAGAAAAGACTTTACAGTCACAGTCCAGCCAGATGATGGAAAACTCAGCAAAGTAGGAGCTTTGATACCTCAGATTGATTAGTTAATCATTTTATTTATGTTTCTGGAAGTATTAGCCAACCTTTTAACATAATAAAACTCATATCTTGAACATCAGCGACATTCGTCATTCGTAAATGACAGCTGTAGTTGTCCGGGCAATTTGCATATTCAACATGTTTATGTAAAAATGTTGAGATAATTTTGACACTTTCGCAGATTACAAATTCTGGGTGATTAATTATCTTACGTAATTTATCCACTTTCCCCTCAGGTGTGGGGACATGCTCTGACTACAATTGTTAGTAAAAGCACCTCAACAGGTACTCGTTAAATAAAGCTTTGTATCTTTCTACGTACATTTACTCGTTTTTAATTTTACAATGGAGTATAACCTCTCAATACCGGTTTTCTCAGGGAAAGGTGCATGGTATAGAAAACCCGGTATATAATACTGTACACCGATCCAAAATCTCAAGTATCTGTAGTCTCTCGTATACCCTATCAATTATCATGGGGCACATGTACTACCTATAAATCTTATCGAGTAAATTTTTGGCAGATAAAGATGGCGATTCATCAAAAGAAGTTTCCCAAGAACCCCCAATCCCGACGGAAACCCCTTCTTCTTCCAGCAACGGCGAGGAAGAGGAGCTAGAAAAATCTAACAGTAGTGGGACAAGGAGCCGCGCTTTAGGACTCATCAGCAAACTGCCTCTTACAGGTAGAGCATGTTGGTTGCCATGGTGGCCATTCACTACCCACACTTAAACCTTGATGTCTGCCGTGATATAAAATCTGTACTAAAAATCAAATTACATTTTTCTTGTTTTCTCCAAGACAATAATAAAAGCAAGGAGTGAACTTATAAACTGACCACCCCTCGTCTGTACCAGGTACACTGCTAAAGAGGTGGGGTTCAGTGCAAGAAGAAGAGTTCAAACTGCCGGAGCAGTACGCGGAGAGTACGGAAGAGGAAGCGAGCGAGTATGACCCAGATGCAGTGTACATTTTACCAGTAATCGGGGAGGAGCACATCTTCGAGAAAAGAAAGGTTAACATTTTATCTTCGATTAAATTAAGGATGGGGGGAGTTTGTTCGTCAGGTTAAAGCATCACTATACAGTATACAAGTTATCCTACACTTCATGGACTAAAATTACGAGGACTCTTGATTTTACCTACGGAGAATCAAGAGCAAGGAGGACTTTTCATTTTACCAACGGAAAATCACGAGGACTCTTGATTTCACCTACGGAGAATCAAGAGCAAAGAGGACTTTTGATTTTACCAACGGAAAATCACGAGGACCTTTGATTTTACTTCAACTTACGGAAAATCAAGAGCAAAGAGGACAAGTCAGCATCAGCTTAGTTAAAATTTTAGCAAACTGAATACTCAGTAAACTACATAGTAACACGCTAATTACCTAATTACCTAATTACCTAATTACCTAATTACCTAATTACCGAATTACCTAATTACCTAATTACCTAATTACCTAATTACCTAATTACCTAATTACCTAATTACCTATTAGACTACCTATAAATTGCAGACGATAGTATTAAGACGCGATATTTTCAACGCAAAGCATGTCAAGTCCACCTTCAACATAGTGGACAAGAGGAACAAGTTTCACTTCCGGGTGGAGGCTGAGTTGTACGATCTGAAGAGGGAGAGAGTTCTCACAGACCAAGAAGGGAAACCTACCATGGGGCTCAGGTACCGGATAAATTCACTTTTAATACAGTACCATGGGGCTCAGGTACCGGATGAATTAACTTATAATACAGTACCATGGGGCTCAGGTACCGGATAAGTTCACTTTTCATACAGTACCGGACTCAGTATTAAATTTAAAGAGAAAGTATGAACTAGATCTACTGACGAGATTGTATTTCATTTTCTTTTTCCTCGCGTAAAGATGCCATTAATCTTATCTCAGGTATGACTTCATAGAGAGTTCATGGCACGTGTTAGGAGGACACAATCTGTCGGAAAGAAGAGCAGTCGTGTCAGTTAAGAAAAGTATCTTCGGCAACAGTTGCCACGTGTAAGTTGTCACGTGTAAGTTGTCACGTGTAAGTTGTCACGTATAAGTTGTCACGTGTAAGTTGTCACGTGTAAGTTGTCACGTGTAAGTTGTCACGTGTAAGTTGTCACGTGTAAGTTGCCACGTGTTAGTTGTCACGTGTTAGTTGTCACGTGTAAGTTGCCACGTGTTAGTTGTCACGTGTTAGTTGTCACCTGTAAGTTGCCACGTGTTAGTTGTCACGTGTAAGTTGCCACGTGTTAGTTGTCACGTGTTAGTTGTCACGTGTTAGTTGTCACGTGTTAGTTGTCACGTGTTAGTTGTCACGTGTTAGTTGTCACGTGTAAGTTGTCACGTGTAAGTTGTCACGTGTAAGTTGTCACGTGTAAGTTGTCACGTGTAAGTTGTCACGTGTTAGTTGTCACGTGTTATTTGTCACGTGTTAGTTGTCACGTGTAAGTTGTCACGTGTTAGTTGTCTCGTGTTAGCTGTCCCGTGTTAGTTGTCACGTGTAAGTTGTCACGTGTAAGTTGTCACGTGTAAGTTGTCACGTGTAAGTTGTCACGTGTAAGTCGTCACGTGTAAGTTATCACGTGTAAGTTGTCACGTGTTAGTTGTCACGTGTAAGTTGTCACGTGTAAGTTGTCGTGGAACTGTTTTCACTATACAAGCTTACAAGGTGTCATAACAAACTGATACCATGTTAAAAGTTTTCTTGGTGACAATTGATACTTTTCAGTGTCATAATTTGTCATACTTTGAACGTAAAAATCTATGTACATATATTAATCTGAAGTAAAAACTTTTCCAAAAACTACAGTTTTCGGATAACTCCAGACCAGAAAAGAGTAGAAATATTCCCAATGGACAGTTCCCCACCTTCATTTGTTTCACTGTATTGACACGAGCTATTTGTTTGAGGTCTCATTGTCCCCGACTAATGTACAAACAAAAGAGAGTTGACTGTTACAGGAGAGTCCGCCCTTCGTTGATAAAATGACTATTAACCTAGCAAACAATGAAGGTATATTCCACTACAGCCAAAATAGTACAATCTACAAAACACAGCACCGTAAAACGTTATATGATATGCTAGCTAATAACACCTTGCTAACTTGGTTAACCAGTTTATAACATTGTGTTAATCGGTTTAGGGTCTATTAGACCACCTGATTCTGGTTCGCAAGTTCCTCCCCTTTTCAAGTTTCTCGTTGTACACGTTTTGCTTATTGGCGTTGCTGAGATATAAAACGCTCAACTATTTCGAGCGTTTTACTTTTTATAACAGCTACGTAGTCAGGTCGGGTTTGCTAAGCTTTATAAACTGAGCCGAGAGAATGAGGAAACTGGCTGTATTCTGTTTGTTGTGTTTTGTGAGTGTAGTGGTGATGATGATAATCCTGTACGGGCAACAGAAAGGGTATCTGCCAAATGATCAGGTGGTAATGTCTACTGAATCACGGACTACTGACCAGCCTCAGTTCTATTTCGAACTGAAGAATATCACCAGCTTTATACAGAAACGAGACAAGCTCATGTTCCTCAAAACTCACAAATGTGGGACCTCTTCTCTTGTGACGATACTTTATCAGTTTGGTATCAGACGGAACCTTAATTTCTTGCTGACCCCCTACGAGCACCAGTTCTTCAACGACAAGCCCCCTCAAAAGTTGGCACCAGGCCAGGATTATGACATCTTGTGTCAGCACCACAGAGGATCAGGAGCTTGGGACTACTACCGACCCTGGATAATTCACAAGCTCCTTCCCAAGGAACAAACATTCTACTTTACAATCCTCAGGAACCCTAATCAACAGTTCCTCTCCAACTATTTCTTCTATAATCATCAAGATAGACTGAAAAAGAAATTCCAAATAAAGAGTGATTCTGTGGACGAAGTTTTACAGCAGTCCCTTGCTCTACTACCCAACGATACCCTTACTTGTAATTCCTTTATAAACCCCATGTCATTTGATCTCGGGTTTACTCACTTCCTGCAAAAGAATAAGGGTCTAAATCCAGACGTCCTAATTGTATCCTTTATTAGATATCTAGATAGGGAGTTTGATCTTATAATGATCACTAACGAGTTTGATAAATCTCTTCTCCTTCTGAAGCATTACCTGGGTTGGAGGATAGATGATGTGGTTTATTTAAAGAAGATGACTAGAAGTTTAGACGATTCTGCTGAGCCTATCAAACCTGTTGTATCAGAGAATACACTGAAGTTACTGACATTCCACAACCGAGTTGATATGAAAGTGTTCGAGTATTTTGAGCAAAAGTTCACAGCTCAGATAGAAACCCTGGAGGAGAAACAGTTTGAGGCAGATCTAGAGACACTGCAGGAGAAACAAACTGATCTGGTGTCCCAATGTCTGGATATGAGTCACGTGATTAAGACGCACCTGGGCACTGTTTACCACCCTCTGTCAAATACAGGAAGAATGAGTAATTCTTGCAGACTCTGGACTCTGAGTGATGTATTTATTAGTAAGAGTTTGGCTGCCAAACAGGACCCCACCTTTTCTGAAGACAGTTTTAAAGCTATGATGTTAAAGAATGTTAAATATGGCACTATAGTCAGTCATTTAAAACTGCTTGAAGGCATTCGGTCAGATTATTTGAGAAGCTCGGGTACTTCATGATAAAGGTTGTGTAATAGGGAACTTTTATAATTTGATGGTTTTCAGCAATTTTAAATCACGACCGCATCTTTCATATCAATAGCATTCAATTTTATGAAATTAATTCAATTTTATGACTATAATTAGTTCAAGGAATTTATGTTGTTGTACCAGCATGATTTTTCAATCTTGCCTTGGAAAGAACAACACGTCAATTTTGATTCACTCACAAACTAAAGAAAATAATACAACCTCTAATATTGATATCTGCTACAAAATTTAGCACTGAAATTAAGCTTTATTACTTACTTTACTTTGGGCGATCCTCGATCGAAATCCCGTTTACTATCTTCCTCCAAACTTCTCGATCGCACATGGCAGTACGGAGATCTTCTAACTGTACACCTGCATCTCTATCTACAGTATCTAATAATGTTAGTAGCCTCCTTCCTCGACGGGACTGGGGAGGTGCCAAGGGAGGATGGTGGAAATGATCAGCTCAGAGACCCGCATTACATGCAATGACCAGCGAATCTGGCGATTCTTTAGTTCTTTGCGACATTAACTCTCCAAAATGTATAACACATTCGTTAAGCCAGACACTTCCGTAAATGTAAGGTCGATTCGAAACTGTTTAAAAATCTAATGACAAGTGAATAGTGATGATGTTGATCTAAAAGGTTCCACACCCTACCCGCTAATAGTGAACTGTTTAGGTTCGTACATTTGCCACCCTACCCGCTAATACTCTAATAGTGAACTGTTTAGGTTCGTACATTTGCCACCCTACCCGCTAATAGTGAACTGTTTAGGTTCGTACATTTGCCACCCTACCCGTTAATATTGAACTGTTTAGGTTCGTACATTTGCCACCCTACCCGCTAATATTGAACTGTTTAGGTTCGTACATTTGCCACCCTACCTGCTAATAGTGAACTGTTTAGGTTCGTACATTTGCCACCCTACCTGCTAATAGTGAACTGTTTAGGTTCGTACATTTGCCACCCTACCCGCTAATAGTGAACTGTTCAGGTTCGTACAATTGCCACCCTACCCGTTAATAGTGAACTGTTTAGGTTCGTACATTTGCCACCCTACCCGCGCGAGTTTGAGCAACCTGAGCTGGACGGAGTAAAACCTCTTCTCAAGATAATGGGCAAATCTATCGAGGACGGTTTTCAGGTGAGATTACATCAGCTCTTATAGTAAAAAATGATATTACCCATCGAAGAGTGGCCGGTCTGGTACTATTTAGTGGTTGTCAAATTGCTGTTTTAGTTCAATACTAAGACTTGTGTAAACAGATAATTAACACTTTAACTTTAATATACATTAGACACATTGTCAGATAATTAACACTTTAATATACATTATACATTATACACATTGTCAGATAATGAATATACATGAGGATAAGCAGTGGGCTAGAATAAAGAAGGATCTGGAATATCTTACCCACTGGACCTTCGGGACGGACAGCTTCTACTTGGAAGTAAGGCATTGTAATTAGATGATAATTAACGCTAATAGTACTAAAATTTCAATTGAGTGATAAAGGATGCTTAAAGATTGAATATCTAAATTTTCCCTTATGTAAAGTCTTCTAACAGGTTGAACCGTACATAGACACAGCGTTGATGATTGCAATAGGTATCATAATGGAAGAGGAAACTACAACTGAAAGGGAGCGCCCTTACATCACAGGTAGAAACTTTTGAACACAACAAGGTATTCTGAAATGTGACAGTGATTAACCAATCAGCTTCTAGTATTTACCAATAAAAATTCAAACCCCAGAATCACTGGTTGCTATGGTAATATGTCACGTGACCCAGAACCACTGTCACGTGCCAAAACAATATGGTTCTCCCCGTCCAATAGTATCCACACTAGCATGATTAAGTATCATCTCAGATATCTCACGAGATAATTTTTCTCAGGTAACCTCTTCAAAGATGTAATGCTACAAGTTGCTGATAATCTCTACCGCTAATTCTGCCTCGGATCATCAACTACCAACGTCATTTCTAAGTCTAAAACGGTCATCAGTTTGATACTGAAGCTGTACTCTCGGAATTATGAACTATGAATTTTGGTTTATTATGTTACAGTTAACAATGAGAGTTACTCGCTTGGGGTTAAGATATCTTTGATTATTATTGAACAGGGACATTTTTCTTTAAACGCAATATGATCAAGAAGGAATTTAAATCGGAAAGAATTCAATTTTGAATTAGATGATATTTAATTTTGTAAGTTCGAAATTATTTTTGTTTGTACGTAGTTTGAAAAAGATTATAATTTCAAAATTCGTATAAAAACCTCGTGCGTATTAAAACCAGCTTCTTGATACGAGAAAGCAATTATGACTCTGTTCAAGTACACTTATCAAAAAATACTTCTTGAAGTGGTCAAAAATGCTGTTTTTTTATTATTTATATTAACAATGATCACGATCAAATTAATCAAAAAATTTAGGAAATTGAGAAAGTACAATAATAACCTGAAAAGTTGAAAGAGGAAACGTATTTAACCTATTTTGGTATGAAAAACTTTCAACAATGATTCGTCCTGACAGGTTTCAACCATGTCATCTCAAAAACATGACGGTTACATTGTTGTAATACCGTCCACGACAAATTGATTCACATTAACTAATGTAAATATCCGCATATCTAAACTAAATATCCGCATCATTCGCTCACGTCTCAAGGCAAATCAGTCCGCTGTTTAGTCAGCTCTCTTGTTCCCATCATTCTTCGGGAGTCTGAGTGGAAGTAAGATCTTCCTGCGCTCTGTCCCGCTCCCCACTGCTCTCCCCCACCCTCTCCTGTCGAGCAGGACTAGCAATCTCACCCTCCTTGAAACCTGCCACCAAGGTAGCGTGCCCGTGAGCGTACAGGTAGGGCAGACACCGGGGTATCCACGAGTGGAGTAGAGCTGCTGTTGGTTCTGTCCCGTTCCGGACTGCTTTCCTCCACCGTGCACGACGGTTCTGGAACCAGATCTGAGGATTTTTTATCATATTGTTATTACACTTTCTCTGCTATAACGTTAAGGAAACATAATGATGTTAAAATGAATCCCGCCTGTTAAATTAATAAGTAACCTAAATAACAGCAAGTGCTCGCCTCTTGTTCCTTTACAAGACAAATCCTCGAGTTTAAGGAGGTCTTCAACATTACTTCCTTATTACTTCCTCATTGTGAAGCCTAAATCTCTAGAATTAAGGTCGAAAATTGATGAGTTAAATAAATAACTCTGATGTTGACTACTATTTCTACTCTGATGTTGAACGTCACATAAATGAACGTGGTTCATCTGAATCTATTAACTTTATCCGGCACTTTGTTTGTTTAACTAGGGGAGCCCAGCTTTTAGTGTTGTATGGCAGAACTGATGCTATTGGTACAACTTGATTTTAGTTTGAAGGGATATTATATCTTGGGACGTTGCAGCCAGCATTTCTCAAATTTATTGAAGCATGTAGAATTTCTAAGATTACATTGTTGCTTTCCACTACAAAGCAATAATCCTAATGATTGGTGATCCTATAAATGATGAAACAGAGTAACATAATGGTAATTAAAATGAATCCTGCCTGATAAATTAATAAGTCACCTAAATAACAGTAAGTGCTCGCCTATAAATGATAAAACAGAGTAACATGGATCTTACCTGTACACAGCTCTCGCTCAGTCCAATACGGCCAGCTAATTCCTCTCGTAGCACCAAGTCTGGATAATGGGTTCGACTGAATACCTGGAATTATTATTTGTCATTGGTACGTAAACATGACATTTTAAAAACGCCTTTCAAAGCTTTAAGTATATTCAAAAGTACTTAAAAAAAGGTACTTTTGGCACTTTTGTTCAAAGAAAATATATAATATATCTGCAGTCTATTGGCTCATATAGTCTTATAGTATAGACCTATCAGATCCATATGCAGATGTCCTCACAATATTAACTCAAATCTCTAATACAATAAGCAACAAGTAAATATGGCGCGAAAATGCGAACCTTCTCCAGCTCATCCAGCTGTATCATGGTAAAGCGGGTTCTGTGACGAGACCTTCTCCTTCTGTGACACAGCTCCTCAAACAAGCACCTTTCCTGTGCTAACAAGGTACCTGATGTTTTAACATCATCTCAAACAGCGAAACATTATTTTGATCCAAGCTCCACGAAAAGATATCAAACCACAAAAGAAGAATTTGAAGCTAAAGAATACATACCAATTCTGGGATCATTCTTGGCCAGCAAAGCCTCAACAGAGTACTGAAGAGGTCGAGGTATTATCTGGTCGTGAGAACTGGACCCTGCCCCTCTTGGATCAGGCATCTTCCCCTGGGCTCCTCCTCCTGAGCCGAGAGAAATTAGGGACGACACCTCGGTGCTCGCCTTGTACGATTCATCATCCATCATTTCGTTCATCAGATTTAACGTGAATAGTATTCTGTAAAATTGAGGTATTTGTGAGTATTCTAACAGAAGTTTGCACATGATCACAGAGACTGATTGACTTGAAATTCATAAAGTCCGTTATAATAAACTATAAATGAATTATAACAGATCAGTAGAGGTGAATGGAGAACGCACCGTAAGTTTAGTTTGTAGAAATGAGGGGTAGAAGCCCATCTCGATATTTGTGCTGCACTTTAGTTGGGGTCTATTAATTAAGATATTAAAGGTCTCGATCCCTCTCATTAATAAGGTGCTGCCCAGTCAGAAAGTTAATACATTAACTGGTTATCAATTCTGAATACGTTCTCAGACACCGGCACATGCTCAGAGTTGAACCAAGAGATTAATATTGCTGTATTTAATAGATCGTCTCGTATATTGTACTGTACTTTTTATATATTAATGGTCTGACAACAAAACGAGGGGCACGGTCAGTTGAAAAAGATCGATCGGATCGATTTGAGGGTGCTGCAGATGGTCGGTGTAACCGCAGGTACAATCAAATAACGTGTTCGAACAAATTGCTGTGTGGTTAAATACTGATTGATTGAGTAATATGGCAATATAAATACAATAATGCGGTCAAAGTTCACAATTTCGGTGGTTTGAGGCGGCACAGAACGAAGTGTCACGTGATAGAGTATGAAAGGAGATCTCTGTCTCAGCACAATAGAGCCACTAGACAATTAATCAGGTAGCTACTCACCTCCCCCACCAATACTGACTAGATGGTGCTTGCAGTAAACACCATTGTCTCGGTATCATAAAATTATTGAGATTAATATCTTAACTTTTAATATAATCCTCCTCGACAACAACACATTTGATTGTCCGTGTCACAGCTGAGTATAATGCTTGTGACATTTCCATCAGAGAAGACTGCTTTGTGGTAGCTTGAAATGAGTCTCCTGGTGGAAAAGGGAGCTTCTAAATGAGCACCTTGGAGAGGTTATGTTATCAGGGAAATGGCTTACTAAACATTAGATTTCTGTAAATTCTGCAGCATGAAATAGGTATTTAAAATGTTTTTCCGAGAATTCTGCAGTCTTTTAAGTCTGTTAAGTAAAAATAGGCCAATAGTTAATCTTTATAGCATCAGTAGTCAACGACTAAACAGGTTTGTTATCTGAAAAGGTTAAGAATACATTATTAAAGGTATTTCCACACAATAATAATAAATCGTTCCTTCTCATTAAATGCGCATGAGGAGAAGAGGGCACTTTGACTTTTAGTCAGAGTCTTGATTATCCCATGTTTTCTGAATTCAGATTCCAGGAGCAGAAATAATAATGATGGTTAGGCTGACCCTTGAAACTGAAACCACTAGGTACGTAAATGTTTAAGTGAAATGATACCATTGTTACCGAGCTGCTGCAAAATTTGCTGCTCCTATAATAGTGAGTATAATATGTAAGTAAGACAAACTTCTGTGGTTTCAAAAATTGTATGTAACAACCATGTTGTAAATCATACTATTCATTCAATGGTCCAACGAACATAACAGTGTGAGTACTGTTTATCTGCACCCTTATTTCGTCACATTTACGAAATGGAACTGCCATTTCTGCCCTAAATTTACTATTCTGGATGCATGCATTTTGAGCAACATTTCAGACCTAGAAAGCTAGAAGTATTCAGCCCTCTTAGTATGGATGTTTTCTTCCAGACCTTTGAAGACGATAAAAGTGACCATCCCTGAATTATTACCTTTTTCTAAAGTTACGTTTAACAACTGGTTGTAAAAGTTACGTTTAACAACTGGTTTTTCATTATGTATATTGGACACATGAAAATATTTTATATTTGCTATTAACCTGCGATTAATTGATAATTAATAGCTCTGTATAAGGCACTACTTGTACATGATATCCTCATTTTGCTACTTCATTAAAAGATTAATTCACAATCTTTACACACAAGCAATTGAATACAATAAGTTATAAGTAAATTCAGCAGATTGGGATGTCAAGTTACGAACTAGTGTATTACAACAGTCGGGGGTACGCAGAACCCATAAGGATATTATTTAACCTCTCCGGTAAGCAATCAGTATAGGGACTGTCTTGATATCGTGTCGAGGTATAACAAGAAATGCGGCCGCTTTTCTACTTACTAAACTGTCATGTGAACCCTATCCAGACAACTACCGGACAACTGAATTTGTCGTATTTCCGATTTCGGTGCAGTTATGATATGACCTGGGTTCAGTTGTTGTTTTGGGATTTTAGCTGATTGGTCACCCAATTAAGCTGATTGGGTGCCTGTTAACTGCGTGAGAATTAGGTTCAACTGGGTTCAGTCACCCGGCTGGGGGGATTGTTAGAATATGGATCACATCACAAATGATACGTCACTGATTGGGCCATGTGATGTGATACCTGTGGGAGCCCGGACTGAGAGTTCTTAGTTGTCGGTCACCGTGGATGGTCGCTCAATTTCTTGATCTATTGTGGCATATTTTATCATATTCCATGCAACCTGGGGAAAAATAAACTATTTCTAGCTTTTCTCGCCCCCACTTGGTACTTCAACAGAGTGCCCCCCAGCTCCGACTGCTCGATTGTTATTAGCCAAACATCCTTTTTTAAATCGTGACTGCTATCTTAGGATCACCTAGTAAACCCTACAAGAATCCTAATTTTTTACAGTAAACACTTATCTCAACACGAACCCTATTTGTTTTCACAGGAATAGAATTCAAAGACACGAGGCTGGCAGCAGGCACTCCCGAGTTTGCCGCCGCTTTAAAACGATCACCAGGTGGTTGCTTACCAAGTTTAGTATTGGATGGAAACCGGGTAGTGTGCCAGAGTCTTGCTATTACCCGTTACGTCGCTAGTTTAACCGGTAAGTTACCAGAGTCTTATCGTTATATTTTCACTAAAACTCCCCATCATTCAACCGGGTAATTAGAGAGTTATCAGAATACTAAACATTACATTACGAAGGTAAACAAACATTCACGACAAGAATTTACAGTTTGAACTTTACTCTTGCCCCCAGACTACAAAGGCAGAACAGCAGAGGATACACTTTATGTGAACATGTTCATTGAGACGCTTTACGACCTGATCGCAAGATATGATGAGGTCGTTAAAGAAAAGGATCAAAACATCAAGGTAATACGATCAGCTGACATTCTGTGATCGCCTGACATTTGTGAACGACTTTCTTGGTTGTCATGTTCGTGGTTTTCGATTTCACACTCACAGAGGCTAAATAAATGTCGATCGACAGTTCGATACATTGATATTACTTCCCTTATATCTATAGTAACACTGTTTTGCTGTTGAATTTCAGAGCGATCATTACAGACGCTCCATACTTAAGTAAAATATGGTCTCCTCATATAATCTTATACCTTTATACATTGCTAGGCGAAGAAGAAGGAGGGGGCATACGAGAGCTATTTTCCAGTGTATCTCTCTAAATTGGAGAAGATGTTGTCTGCCCAGTCTGGACCTTTTATCCTAGGTGACAGGGTAGGTCGAGTTAACCATGTGGTAACCATGTGGTAACCATGTGGTAACCATGTGGTAACCATGTGGTAACCATGGTCGAGTTAACCATGGTGTGTTGCAAGTGGTAAACAGTCCAACTAAACGTTTGTATTAATTGTTCGTGTTTAATCGTACGAGTTGATGCTTTTTATTTTATATTATTTTCCAACAATTTAATTTACTTTATGAATCAACTTTGTGAAACACTAAAAACGATATTTTTACTAAAACTTGAAAGTATCGACGATAAATTAAATCATATTATTTACAGATGACATGGGGTGATATAGTGATAATGAGTTTTTTAGAACTCAAACAGAACCCTGAATACGGCAGAGCTGACTTACTCTCGAACTTTCCAAAACTAGCAGCTCAATACAGAGGAGTAATAGAAGAACCAGGAGTGAAGCGATGGTTGGATTATAGACCAAAAACTCAGAAATAACTGTCGAGAAAACTGTGCTATGCATTTATAAATTTACTCATCTGAAATGATATAAGGTGGTGAAATAATTTTCTCTATAAATTTCATATTGAAAATGCCGCATAGCTCAAAATAACAATCCAATTTTCCAGGAGTCAGCTATAGTTTTGTCTCTTAAGTCCCGCTTAATAAACTAAGGCCTTCATCTTTAATTTGGCCAGAAGTGCAGCCGGAGAAGAGTAACTATCAGAGAACTGATTCCACCAGCGTGGCCTACGTGGCAACGGCAGCCATTTGTTCCTTGACTATCTTTGTGAGCTCAGAGTTGTCAATAGGGAGCAGGTCCTCCTCCTCATCCTGGGGTTATTACATTGTTAATAGGGAGCAGGTCCTCCTCCTCATCCTGGGGTAATTACATTGTTAATAGGGAGCAGGTCCTCCTCCTCATCCTGGGGTAATTACATTGTTTCATGTTTGTTTAAAGTTTAATTGATTGTTAAAGGATCACCCCTTTAATACTAACTGTCATCGTTAGGTTAGTACTTGTTCATTCTTCAATTTGAGTGTTGATTATAAACTTTATGGGAATTACTTAAGTCAAACTTACTGATTCAAAATCGATTTCTTTCGGATCCTTTGGCATCAGTGACATCTTGATTTCTGAAATCTTCAGATTGCCGAAGTTTTTTCCAGCTGCATAAAATTGTTTCTCTGCTTTTGACTCGAACGTGACACGCTTAGTAGTTAATGGTTCGATCGGCAAATCTTCTGGAATCGTTTGAATTTCGTCTATCAGTTTTTGAACCTAAGTTAAGTAAATTATTTAGTGAAAAATATTTACAAATGTCTACCAATTTTAATCCGTCTGACTGCAGTCTGACTGCAAAATGTCACAATTGCGCAATAGATACATTAACAAAGGAATAAGAAATGTTCCATACCAGACCACCAATACCGGCCATCTGGGCTGGGGAGTATTCCTCGAATATATCTGTTATCATATCGGAACCCCTTATTGTAAAGTTTATCTCATCCTCAATGTCGTGAACCTGCATATTTTCCAAACGATTAAGTCAATTTTAAACAAACAAGGTTAACAGAAATGAGGAAGCAGTGTATTTTCAATCGGTGCAGTTGTATCAAGATTTGCATCCAAACCCACAAAATATCCTTATTACCTGTTGCTCTAGAAGTTTAACATTCTCATTCAGCACCTTGTCCACGTCGGCGAACAGTTCGTTCTGTCGGTCCCTCGAGCCCCTCACAACTCCCATAAAGGAGATGTTCAGATTTCTCTTGCATCTCTGGAACATGATGTTCATTTCTTTATCCACGTCCTCTGTAACAGTGGTTAGGAGTGAAACGAATATTCGCCTTACAAATAATATGAAAATCATAAACATTATTATCACTGCTAAAATTCGCACATTTTAAAGGTAATTTCAAAAAAAGATCATTAAAAGAAAGAAATAACTTGCCTCCTATTTTCAAGTTTTGTTTAATGTTGTAAGTATTTTGTTCCACTTTTTTCATTATTGGCCTCATCTGAAATATTCCCGTTATATTAAATTATCATGTTGAATTATTCCCAGCGATATTGTTGATAATCTCGCTGTAGCAATAAGGTAATTAACAAATCAACTGATTAACTAATTAAGTAACAGTCAATTTATTCATACCTTTTCGTGGATATTGTTCATAGTGTCTCCAATTTCCTTGACACTGTGTCCCTTGTGATCGGTGATAGCGCAGACGAGACAGCACAGAGCATTGCACGTGGTACACACTGCCTCCAGAGCAGAGTTGTGGTGCTTACTACAAAACTGGGTGCAAATTTTCATTTAATCATATAATTATATTTTCACTAATCTTAATTAGCGACGAGTTTTGCATAGTTTTTCAATAAATTTCTATAATCAGTCGCTGAAGATTATTTTAAGAACATTTAAACCTGAGCTCCATTTGCGCGGAGAATCTTCTGAGGTTCCGCTAGTATATCCATGAACTTTACAACAGTGTGATGCTTAGTTGCAGCCACTATCGAGTGGAAATTAGCGTGCTCGTCACAGTAATTTTCCTGTCAAGTTGTACGGTTATTTTCTTAAAATATTGGACTGATTTGTTTTGTTTATAAGAATGGACAGAAATTGTATTATTCATAAATCTGTCATTAATGATGGGTTGTATTAAATCATGTCGTTAATAATATGTTGTATTTTAATAATGTTTAGCACATTAACAGTATCATGTGATATATTCGTTTCTACAATTATTCAATATTCATGCGTTTTTTAATTTTCCAATCAGCGAGGCTAGCAAATTACAAACTTGAAATAACAAACATAGAGCAGCCAAAATAAAAGTCCGATTAAACATGCGATGATCAGTGGAGAGAGTTTGACTAACCTGACACTCCAAACAGCGAGCTTCCCCCTTCTCGTCACATCCTATGCACGGCACAAAGTCCTTTTTGTATGCTTCCACCAGCTGAACAATGAACACCCTTTATTTAGCAAGATGCTTAATGCTTATTAAACAATGTGTTTTAAATAGCTCAACTGCTTAATTCTCTCAGGAAAGACTATTATTTTTTTAATTAACACGTCTACACTACATTTTTAAGCTAATTTGAATGACGTAATTTGAGTGACGTAATTTGAGTGACGTAATTTGAGTGACGTATTACCTTGAAAACCTCCAGTATCTTGAGAGTACCAGCATTAGGTGTGAAGCAACACACGTGACCCCCCGGCACAACTGTCAGACGGTCACATACCGGACAGTGCATCTCCTCCGCCCTGCCTTTCCTACCAGCTGAAATCGGAAGGTTTCGAATCATATCCCGATATTGGTTGATCAATGGTCATTCAGTAACAAAAACCATTTTTATCTATATTAATCCTTTGATTTGTCGCCTAAATACATGCCGACGAACTGTTGTGAGTGGAAAATCGCCGACTCTAAACTTTACGCTAAGTACAGTTCGCTTTACCAATAACTAATAACTTACAATAACCCATGTTAAGTTCACAGTACCCAAGTATAAAAGAGTTATTCGCTCACCAAACTGTCTGAGGCAGTCGAGGCAGGCAGTGTCTCCACAAGGAAGCTGGTGAGGAGCATATTTACTGAAATCGAAGGTGTGTTTGCACACTTCACAAGTCAAATACTCATCCTTCAACTTCGTCTCAGTCGGACGTGGATCTGTGGTCAAGGTGTTCTTTTAATGCAATTTTCACTACTATAGTATTATGTAGACACTGATCAGTCACTTGAATAGTCATTACTGTATCATCCGAAATGTGTGTTTTTTTCATTTGTGTTGAAAGCCCAAATTTGGACAAAAACACGATTTTGATTGAAAATACCAACATGTCACGTGACTTCCATATAAGGAGTGGCACGTGTTGGCGGTCAGTGTTTCTAACAATCCATACTCTTACCTGGTTTAGAAGCATCAAAAAATCCTGGGAAGGGGTGAGCTAACATAGCGGACATGTCTAATGAGCGGACAATCAGTAATACAGTGAACAACTCGCAAACATACAATCGAACAGCTACTCATCAAGACAATTGCTTGTTACCGAATCTAAGATACGAAGAAGAGTATGCTTGTTGATCACGCTATCACGTGGTGCACTGTACACTTTTATGCTTCATCAAGCTTAAGAGTTAGCGCTGATTTTCAGCTCATCGGCATTAAAACTAAATTGTGCCACTTGAACAGGTACACATACCACTTGATTTATTCCTTGGCCAATTTTTATTTCTTCATACTGGTCAAAAGGAAATAAAAACAGTCGACCCAGCCAAAAACGTTTTAATGCAGGTAAAGTTGATATCGTGGTGTAAAATTTTAATACTCGTAAAATATCAAGGCCACTCAAGGCTCAGAAATAGTCATATGGACTCTTTATGTTTTGTAAGCTCTATCTCACCTCGAGCTAGCTCCAACGCTTTTGCCAAGAATTTCTTCTATAGGACCCACACAAAGTGGAATCACATTCCTCTAGATATCCGTGAGATAGAGAGTATCACTGATTTTAAAAGTAAACTTTCCACTTACATGTGGGGGAAAATTATCCCGGTGGATTCGGACTCTGAACTTGACTATTCAATAGAAACAAATCCATAAAATAGTTTATTTAAGATTATCTATTCTTGCTGTCTGCATTCACGTATTTCTCAATTTCATCTCACAGCACTGCATCACGAACTAGATGGCCACATTTTTCACTTTACAATATTTTATGAATTGATTGAATGGGTGTGTGATTTTGTTTAAAGTAACTTATTACAATTTTATAAGGGCCCATGCTTGTGCAGGAGCTGCATTTGCACTCAATATCTGTGTTTTGGTGACCCTCAGGTCCTTTGGTTACATACATTTTGTCCGATACAACTTCAACTTTGACAATCCATGCTTAGAGGACAATATTATATTTAACTAATTCATTGTGTAAACTTGTATGTAATTGACTGATTTGAAAGATTTCAATAAAAAATCTGTTCCTACAATTTCGAGCTAGAAGGAATCGTTAAGAACTTATGGCATTCCTCCTCCACTGCATGCTTCCTTCCATGCGGTAGTATAATTTCAGTACTTCATAAGCTCCATAAAATGCTTCCTTCGGTAAAGAGGTGTGGCTGTAGTCTTAAAACTCAAAAAAAATAAAAGTCAATAAGTTGTTTATAATTGTCACTATTTCACCATTATCTCAAGAATGCAGGTACGTTTATTTCCGAATATGCCACTGTGACGGTAATTGTATTTTCACCCGATCGGCAATCTGGCAACAAAATAAACGGATAGGGGGCTTTATTATAATTTGCTGGGTTTATAAATGATTGCCTACCTGCCTGCCTGCCTAGGTCGATCCAGATGAAGTCTGAAAAATAAATTATTACAATATAATAATAATGAATTATTACATAATCCAAAACTAGAAGGTTTTGCATTGTAAAGTGCTCCCGTTACACATATAAGACTCTATTTCATGAGGCTATAATTATCTGCTGGTCATTGATTGCCCAGTGGTAAGACTGTAAGAGTAACTGTAAGACTAAGACAAATAAACAAAAGTGCAAGCTTTCGAATTTTCATATTCTATGAAATATATCACATGCCTTACTTGAACTTGATTAGGTGACCTAATAGGTCTCCTCAATCATTATAGAGTAGCCTTCAGGCTGCAACAATGAACTCCCGTTTGTGTCGTATCATTTCTTTTTAGTGCTCGCGCGGTCACCAGCAAACACACTATCTGTCGAACTCGATATCTGTGTCTGTGTTTCCTGAGAACGATGCAGCGTCTTCCAGCAAACATTTCAACCAATTCTTTTACGGTTGATTACTGGATCTTCTTCCATGCGCAGAGGTCCAATAAATGAGGTATCTAAAAAGCCTGGTGTCGGGCACTGGTTTGTAGGTTTATAACCTACCAAGACCTGCGCCGAGTTGGACTCGTCGACGGTCTAATATTTGGAACAAATATTTAACTGGTGACATGGCCAAACCAGCTCAGGCGGTTTGCTTCTATGTAGTCTCTATTTTATTTAACCTCGCACGTGGTCAAGCACTTTAGTTTTTCTAACTCGGTCGAGCCATCTTATCCTAAGTACTCTCCTCGAGCAATGCTGATGGAACACCTCAAAGTGATGTAGCTGCTTAATTTGGTTGTGTGCCATACCTCACTACCATAAAGCTATAAAGCAATATTGACAAAACTGCCGCTTTATAGATTCTGATCTGCGGTTTATCCATATATTACTGAGTTGGTTTAAGGATATATATTCGCATATATCCACATTATATTTACATTACACGTTCAACATGATATCATTATATCATTATCAGTGCAGTGTGTACAACACCAACTACACCATCTCGAAGTGATTACTGAGTTGGTTGAAGGATATAGAGGTTTTCTGAACAGTAATGTTCACAGTCGCTGACATAATCATAATGTGTCGCTGCTATTTTATATTGTTATATTTGGCAAATTGGGGTAAAAATTGGCACAATCGAGTTTTGTTAAAATTTCGAAATATTGTTATAATTCATAATCATTTCTTGAACCAGATTTTTAAGTTTCATTTTCCAAGATTGCCACCCAATACCCCTTTATGATGTTAAATATATTGCCGTGAGCCGTTTCCATGATTCCTTGGGGTTTCAACTCTGGCATGAATGTTGTGCCCAAGTCTTGCCATAATTGCACTTTGCATTGCTTGATTTAAATCCTCGAGGAAAATTTATCGACAAATCTTCCAAAAGGTATATGGACACGTTCATTTGAGTTTGAGGATATTGGTAAATATAAGTGACCCTATTAAAAGGCACAGTGTAGTTGACTTTGTCACACTATTGAATTACTTAAACCCTTGATGGTTAGGATAATCGTCTCATCCTCTAGGCTAACTTTTTCAAATAACGATATCTTAATCAGGTGATAAGATATCGCTTAAATACGGCCGGCACGGAAATGGTTACATTGTCACACTATAAACATGTGACGGAGTAAATATGGACCCCTTGCTGCCGTTTTTGACCAAATTTTTGAGTGTCCAGTTGATTGGATGGGTACATATGACCATTACCTACATATTTGACGACTTTTTTCGTTATATGGTGCATTCAGGTTTACTCTGTCACACATTAAAGAAAATATGTGATGAATGTTTAGGGCACCCTGATAAGCAATGCTGAGTAGAGTAAGTTTATTTGATGGCCTGGAAGTGCTGGGAATTGTTATTATATCATATAGTCGTAAGGAATTAAAACACAGAAGGCACAACCAAGCTTATTTTGTCACATAATCTTGATGATATCTGAACATGTGTGAAATTGAACAAATAATGATATACCAGCTTAAACCCCTTATATTATACGTACTATGGATCAAACAACACTGCTAGTACCATGCACCAGTCACATAAATCATTATCAGGTGGTAATATGTTAACAGTGTCACAATTAAACTACCGCTACATGGTCAAAAAAAAGGGGAATTTCGTCACAAAAAATTATTATAACTCTGTTAGCTCCTTGCTGGCAAAATAACTAGTTTATCAAATTTTTTTTGATGATAAGGTTACATAGTATTCTAATAGAGGTATAGTTCTTCAAAATAGGGGCAAGACATGTTTACTTTGTCACATCAGTTATTATAAGAGTTAGGTAATCGTCATCACATTAAAAGATATTTTTCGTAGTTTGGATCGATTAATACTTTAATATACCTGTAATAAATCCTATGCCAATTTTAACACACTATCTTGATACTGTTGGGGCAGAAAAAGTTAATTTTGTCACATTTTCAATGTCTTTGACAAATTAATCTAAATTTTTCAAATTGAGCTCTTATGTTCTGGACAATATTCTTCCAATCGTTTCTGAAAGAATATTGAATTCTAATAGAGTTATAGATCTTCAAAATAGGGGCAAGACATGTTTACTTTGTCACATCAGTTATTATAAGAGTTAGGTAATCTTCATCACATTAACATATATTTTTTTGTAGTTTGGATTGATTTACATAGGTAATAAAGCAGCCTATGCTAATTTTTACACACTATCTTGAAATTTTTGGGGCATGAAAAGTTAATTTTGTCACATTTTTAGTGACTTTGACAAATTTAACCTAAAATTGTTAAACTTAAGCTCTGATGTTCTGGACAATATTCTAATAGAGGTATAGAATATAGATCTTCAAAATAGGGGCAAGACATGTTTACTTTGTCACATCAGTTATTATAAGAGTTATTATTAGAGACTATTTCATTCTATAATCATTGTTTTTAATCTATTTACGATTTCGTATAATTTTTTGTGACAATGTAAACATCAACTGATCTTAACTTGCATCAACTACATTGTCATCATATACAATTTTCCCGCCTTTCAAACCAAAATCAGATATAAATAATTCGCCCAAAATTTTAAATTTCATATATTGTGACAGAATTAACCTCATTTCCCAATAACCAAGTGCCTGTATTAGCTAACTATTCAAAACAACATATTTTAGGGCTATGATTGGTAGAGCAACCATCAAATAATGAGTTGAAAGGGTTTTTAGGACACCTCACAGTAGAATAGAGGTATGGTATCATGAGTGTGACAAAGTTACCTAAATATTGCCTTGTAACCGTTCGATCCGTGCCCATTAACCAATGTTGTATCATAATTGTTAGATTGACCTAATTTACTATATTTCAGACCAAGGAATGATAATTAGACAAATGCAGTTAACTAAGTCACACAAAATGTGACATTTGAAACATTATAGTGCCTAACAACAATAGATTTTCTTTCTGAGCGGTGCATATGGGAGTATGGGTTACGTGGCTAACGTTCAGAACTTCTGAACGTGCTAGGTTAATATATGTCAAAATTAAGCCACTATCGTCAAAAACGCTATTATTTTTGTTTACCAATATCCTCAAACTCAAATGAACGTGTCCATATCTGATATCTCCTATTGTAGCCGTGCAGCGTGTTAGTTTCACAAACGTTGCCAGCCGCTGAATCTCACAACCTAGGAAGGAAGAGAATCGTTAAAAACTTACAACATTCCTTGAAGAGTTGAAGGGGTTTTTATAGTTACA